CAGGGCCGCCCTAAAAAAAAACCCTAGGGAGCTGACATCGAGGTCCCACTTGGCCTTCCTTGGTCCCCGAACGACGCAGCCGGCGGCGCCGCCGGCCACTGCAGCGGTCCTTCAGTGCCCCGAGCTTCTACCGGATTTTGGCCTTTCTTGGGGTTCGAGACCTAAGTCCCAAGCCCTAAACCCCACACCCCTAAACCCCTCGACCCCTAAACCCTAAACCCTGTTCACTCGGCCGGTTTCGTATTGACAGACCTTGTGCTCTGGAGTTTCAAGGTGCTCAAGGGCAGGGTTTCCCCAAAAGCCGAGTTTAGGGTTTTAAGAGTTTAGGGTTTTAGGGTTTAGGGTAAAGGGTCAGGGTTTAGGGTTTAGGGTTTAGGGTTTAGGGCTTCAGGGCTTCAGGGTGTAGGGTTTAACTCCTAAAGTCCTAAAGTCCCGAAACCCGAAACCCTAAAGTCTTAAAGCCTGACCGACCCTCAACCCGACACCGGAGCCCTCACCCCTGAACCCTCTGGGCCGGTCACTCTTCCATTTCTTGGGGGCCGAAATGCTCTTGTAACAGCACTTTCAGGGTTTAGGGTTTGGGGTTCAGGGTTCAGGGTTTAGGGCTTAGGGTTTAGGGTTTAGAGTTTGGGGTTTAGGGTTTGGGGTTTAGGGTCGAGGATCCCCCCGAAAGCTGAAGAAGCACACTTCACATGCATCAATACCACAGACAATTGCTAAGTAAGCTCAGCTGTAAAGAAGACTGACTTGTATGAGCAGAGTAAATGGGTACATACACGGGGTAGGTGCATGAAGTGTCAGACATAGCCTTGACGTGTCAGATAGAGACGAACATGGTTGGACAATCGGTGCATAGTTCGTACGTCGTGTGTAGACATGCTCTCAGCCACTGGCATGTGTACAGGCACATATATATATATATACATATGTGTATATATATATATATATATAGACATATGTACATATGTACATACGCACGTACATACATACATACATACATACATACAAACATACATACAAACGAACATACACACATATCTCCATCCGTCCATCCATCCATCCATCCATCCATCCATCCATCCATCCATCCATCCATCCATCCATCCATCCATCCATCCATCCATCCATCCATCCATTGCATGCATGCATGCTTCATACCTACCTACCTACCTACCTACCTACCTACCTACCTGCCTACCTCCCTACCTACCTACCTACCTACCTACCTACCTACCTACCTACTTACCTACCTACCTACCTACCTACCTACATATGCACGCATATTAATGTTTAGACATGCTTGTGTATGCGGGAACAACATGTATGTCCAGGCTCGCGCATTTCAGGAAGCAGAAACGGTGTGCCTGAAGCCTTCTCCATCTCCTGGACGTAATAATCATAGTAGTCATGATGATCAGAATAAGAAGAATAGAAATCATAATGATCATAAGGATCGTAATTTATAACCATAAAACTCACATAAAATCGCATAATGGTCATAATATAGATCGTAATATATAACCGTAAAAATCGCGATTGCATAGCACGTCGGCACCACAGGTGCTGCAGACACCCTTGGCCGCTCAGCTCGATTCTTCAACACGAGCCAGGGCATCCGGATGACATGATTTGGAGAATATAATATAGAGGCCCTACGCCCCAAACCCTAAACCCTAAACCCTAAACCGTATAATATAGAGGCCTCAACAATTACCTATACTATTTTCAGATTTTGGGGGTGCCTTATTGTAATTATTGTATAATGGGCCCCAAAACCTGATTCTAATTAAGGCCCCTATATATGGCTAGTTTTCGGTTTTTCAAAGGCCCTTCATGCATTGGCAGGCGGGTTTCCTGATGGGCATGGTGGCTTCAAATCCTCTTCCTTCATGCTTTCTGGCTAGTTTCCGGCTCATTCAGAATTCTACAGCAGCTCGTTCACCAGGTGTCGGTGGAAAAATGGGCCCTCGCAGTCATTCGCAGTCTTTTCAGCTTGAAGCCTGTGGTTGTGGCAGGTCTGGATGCACTGACGCTGCAAACTGTTTGGAGAGTGGTGCTCCCCACGGTGGGAGTGTCTCGGCCGCGAGTCAGTCTTGACTACAAGTGGCGCTTCGGCTTGGCGATGGCATCAGTACCGAAACCACTGTTTTGCTTGCGGCCGGAGCTTGGGGTTTAGGTCTTCTCGAAAGGGCTGGATGCCACGTTTTGGATCTTGCAACTTTCTTCAGGCTTGCGTTGCCAGCTTGGTGGATAAGAAATCCGAAGGTCTTGCCTTTCTTCCATTGCCGGAGTAGTAGTTAGTTGGTGGCCTCAAAACTTTGCATTTATTGTCTGAGCGCTTTGTCGTCTCGCAGGTGCAACTGCTTTCTGGATTTGCCCCTAAACCCTAAACCCTAAACCCTAAACCCCCATACCCTAAACCCTTAAAACCCCCTAAACCCTAAACCCTTAACCCTACACCCCCAAACCCTAAACCCTTAAAACCCCCTAAACCCTAAACCCTAAACCCTTCCCTCCAGTGCTCCCCCCGGCCCCATGCATGCCCAAGCCCATGCTCTACACTTCCAGGCGCTGTTTGGTGGTATCGCCATCTACGAGCCCCTCTGCCGATGGCTCCAGGAAAGCTGACTGTTGTCTTCGATTGCATGCTTGTGTCTACAAGGAATCTTCAGGAGTGTAGCTTTGAAGTCCCATAAAACACCCGGTGCGGTTTAGGGTTTAGGGTTTAGGGTTTAGGGTTTAGGGTTTAGGGTTTAGGGGTTCATACAACCTAAAGCCTCAACCCTAAACCCTAAACGTCAGCTTTCATCAACGCTGTTGAACCACGGCCTCCGACCTGCAGCCTTGTGCTATTCGGTGCTGCCAGGATATGCTTGACATTGGGAACACCGGCAGGGGGCCCATCTTGTCTGAGCCTTAGCAAGAGGTTTCGAGGCCTTTGTGACTTGGGGCAGGGAAGTTCTCTAAATTTGGGTCCCTCCTACAAGGGTGCCGTACTATATTTGGGACTTAAAACCCTAAACCCTAAACCCTAAACCCTAAACCCTAAACCCTAAACCCTAAACCCTAATTTAGAGAACTACCCTTCAAGTTTCCGGGTCGCCCTTCGTACCACAAGTTCCGGAATGGTGGATGCAGAGATGCAGATGATCTTTCTCCAGGAGTCGGTGGGCCGTGTGTGCTGATGCCATGCTCGTCTCCGAAACCCACGGTCATCCCGGGGTTCTGGGTATTTTCTACTAGAACTACAATAAGGAAGCCCCATAATAGTATTCCTGGTGACGGCGGCTATCCGTACCGGACCTCATAAGTTGGCATGTTAGGGCAAGGGCAAGGAAATTGCAACGCACCTGCGGCACCAGGCAGCTTTTGGCAATGGACCAGTCGCAGTTCATGCAAAACTTTCTGACGCTTGGATTTGGATATACAAATATTAGTACATGGCGAGTCTATATTGTTGTTTTATATGTCTTTCTGTCATCTTTTTCGCTTTTGTCAGCTCAGACTGCTGATTAGTCTGGTTCTTTGTTTTGGACAAACCCTCACGCCACCTCTCGATGACTAGATATGACGAGATCTTTCATTGCTTGGATTTTTGTGCGGTTACAGTTTGCGTGGTTCGTTTAGTTTCCCACAGTAGTCTACAATACTAATTCTACAGGCTTCTGCACCATCCGTTTAGAGATGCTAGTGTTGTCGAGGCAGGTCTCACCCTGGAGCCCGGAAGATTAGGACCGCGATCACGCCGCTGCCTGCCACACCAGCACTCCACAAGCTTATTGTATGCCTGCTCAGTTGCTGGAACTTAGACTAATATCTCAAGATCCGGCATGCTACATGATGGAAGTTAAAGAAACCAACCTGAGGATCCCCTGAAGACTCGAAGATTCGCATTTCTGGGTACCATGTCGCATTCAAGAGCAAAGGCGGCAGACGTCGTGGTACGCTGTGACCTACAGCGATGGTAGCGAACATTTTGTGCAGATCTAGACCCTCCAATCCTCTGCAACCGCGCACAACGCCTCAGAGTGGCATGCAATGCATCTTGCAAGGACCGTCAATGGTCTTCTGTTCACAATTCTTTGTGGCGCCTTGTCCATGCACAGCGCAGCAACGCTCAGCAGGTCAATTTGAAAAAGGTTGGCTGAAGCAGGTTGATGTGTCGTCGCAAACTTCTGCTTTTCGCTTCATTTGACTTCTGTCCAGGCTCTAACCCGACCTTCATGCCTCTCACGTAACTCTTCCTTTCCGAGGTAATACCTACAATTCGCTCTACAACCAGCAAGAGGTCTTGTTTCACGCGTTGTTCACGGAGGCTGGATACCCGTGGTCTTTCACCCATTGCAAACGGGTCGCTTAGCCTCCAGCCCCGAACCCCTCTCCACCCCCCCGCATCGAGAGAGCGCCCCAGGTTGCAAGACTTTGGGGTCGCAGGCGTAAAAGCAGTCCCGTATGGTACAAGAATGCAAACAGTACTTTCAGCACATGGGCTCTAAACCCCAAGCCCAGCAACGCAAAGATCAATCAGCAAGCAATCTGCCACACCATGTCAACGCCCACTGCAAGGCCTGCAGGCACTTTGAAGTCCCAACCCTCAGCATCAGCCCCCAGAGCTCCTAAGCCCCAAAAGCTACTTAAACTTAACCATTCCACGCCCAGAAAGAGAGGACGACAGAGCCCCTCCCCATACTTTCTTCTACCCCTACAAAGCCCCGAAACAGGGGTGCGCCTTACGGCGTGGGGTGCCTGACACGCGCCCCGGAGAATAGAATAGAATAGAGCCCCTCCCCCCCCCCCAAACCCTAAGCCCTAACCCTAAGCCCTAAACCCTAAGCCGTAAGCCCTACCCTAAGCCGTAAGCCCTAAACCCTAAGCCCTAAACCCTAAACCCTGAACTGCTGGACTTTGCCCTTTGCCTCCAGGTCTCCGAGGCAAAGTCCCTCCTGGAGCAGGCCTGCCTGGTCTGCCAAGGGCGGCCACTTGGCATTGTTTTATGTTGTCTTTGTTTTTGTTTTTAATATTTTTGTTTTTGATTTCGTTTTTTTCCATATTTTGTTTTTGTTTTCTCAGTCGTCCGCTTCTGGGATTACTTTAAAGGTCTTTTGTCAAGAGTTTCGCAACGGCTCTTTTCTTAGGGTTGAGGGCGAGGGCGTTGGCTGTGGGGTTGCAGGAAGGGTTCGTTGGGTGTGTATTTCAGGGCTTGCTGGATGCATAGATTCCAGGGCAGAAATGTATAAGCCACCTCTTGGTCGAGTTTGAACCCGCTTTCAGGAAGAGGCTTGTAAGCAAATATTTAGTCTCTAAACCCCAAGCCCTGAACCCTAAACCCGAAACCCCAAAACCCCTAAACCCGACCTAAACCCTAAACCCGCCCCCCCCAAAAAAAAATAAAAGGAACCCAAACCCGAAACCCCGCGACGTGGAGGTGTTCTCGGATTGCCCAGGCTCTTCGGGCCTTCCAGTCCTAAAAAGATCGGAACCTAAGTGAACGTAGGGGCCTTTATAGTTACCTATACGATTTTGGGGGTTCCTTATTATACTTATAGTATAACGGGCCCCAAAACCCTATTCTCATTATTAAAGGCCCCTAGATAAACGCCCCGAAAGCCCAGATCCCCAACTCCAAGCTGACGCGCTGTATCTCTGAGATCTAGTTGGGGGGTGACAGTTCGAGTTTGACTACAATTCAGAAACAGGAAGAGACCCCTGCCCAGACGGTGCTTGCCAGTTCATTGTTGCAAGATTTCGAGTGGGGGCCGCCGCACGTTCATGCTAGCACGAAGCCTTGCACTTCTGTTATCTGCAGGTGAAGGTTAACATGTCGCAAGATCTTGGGTCTTAGGTTTTGGATCCCGGCATGCAGATTAGTTGATGCCATCTCAACTTCGATAGCTGGGCTGTCTGGATCTGGAGGGAGGGTTGGCAAGTCACAGGTGAAGGGTAAGCCACTGCATGCTGTCCTCCTGAGGCCGTTCTATCCCAAAATGCTGGACACTCGGCAGCGAAATTGTCCTCATAGTTGTGGAGGCCCTGAAAAGGCTGGCCCCCTTGTCAGACGGTGGTGTGAAGAAGTGCAGCGCTGGCTAATATAGAAGCCTAAATAATTACCAACGTTACTGTTAGGGTTCTTTACTATAATTATACTACGACGGACCCCCTGTAAAGAGGGGGCCATGAAGCCGACGGCAAGAGTCCGAGCCGAAGCAGCCCAGGACAGCATCGGCGCAGCTCGATCGCATACAGGGAGGTCCGGGGTTCGAGACGCGAAGCCGCGACGCAAAGTCTCGGTAAACCTATTCAGGCTTAAACATGTAAGCATTATCCTAAACCCTAAACCCTAAACAACCCTAAACCCTAAACTTATCTGGAGGGTCAGAACCCGAATGAATTCAGATCGCCGCTCGCCTTCCACAAGATCTAGGTAGTCTTACTTGCAGCCAACCATGAACCTCCAAGGGTGCATATCTTCGCGGTTCGGTAGGTGCTTTGGAGGATCGTCTCAGCGAGTTTACACCCGAGGGCAGCACCTTCCAAGCCTTCTTCAGGCATTGAGGTAGTTCATGGGCTTAAATAATCACCACTACCGTTGTGGGGGTTTCTTGTTGTATTTGCAGTGTCCTAGTCTAATTATTAAGGCCCCTATATGATGCTTTCACAAGAACACCGTCACGGAAGCATTGCTTAAGAAGCCCTTCGGTTGCCAGGCTCTGTCTCGAAGTCCTCCAGGCCCGTTTCAGTTGGCCTTTCATCGGACCCAGGACTAAACCCTAAACCCTAAACCCTACGCCCTAAACCCTAAACCCTAGACCCAGGACTACGTCTCCACGGATCTGCGCCGCCTCGATGTCACTGGGCCGGCCAGGAGTTGAAGGAAGCGAGTCTGCGAAGCTTCGATGGTAGAATCCTTATTATAAGGACCTGGGGACCCTAATAGTAGAATCCTTATTCTAAGGACCCCCAAAACAGGTGCCCATCCCCAACCCCGGGCCTTCACTCTCCCCAGACGGCCCTTCAATCATTTGAGGTTGAGCCTGCCGACCTTTTGGCCAACCGTCCCATGGATGATCCCCTGGAGACCCTTGGCACGGAACTGGTGGTGAAAATTCATGGTTGAAGATCCGCCTTTCTCGAGTTGTGGGGGCATGGGGTACTCTGAAGCCTTGGTGACTCAGGTACATCCTCTATGCTTTTTGGCAGCATCGAAGCTCCCCGAGCTCCCCCTTAAGACAACTTCATCACCGAAAAGACGATGAGAGGACCGTGCAGACTTCGGGGAGGAGTTCGGGGCCGAGGGTTGAACATGGTTACAGGCTTTCTCGTTTCTGATGGGTCCCTTCTGCTGACGGTTGTGGCGTTCAAGCCAATTCGCTGACGGCTGCGTTATGGAACTGCCGTCGAGATGCCGAGAGTTTTCGTGGTAGGGACGTGTGCTTGAGGGTTGTTTCTGAGTGAAAGAGTGGTTGTTTGGGCTTGATGTTCCCCTGCCGAGGTTCAGAAACAGTTATCGGTGAATCACACATGTCTGAGGCGAGGTTGCAGGCACTTCTCGTGTGAGAAGCTCACCACTTGTTTACTCCGTTTCTATCCTGTAACCGTAACCCTGTACGCAACTGTTGCTCGAAGCAGCAGCAGCAGCAGCAGGAGGAGGAGGAGTATACAAGACTCATGCTGGTAGTATTGAGCACAGTGCAAATGCTTGCAGAGCTCAGGCAACCTCGGTCGGTGTGCCTTCGGATGCAGAAGATATGCTCTGACTCGGACGGTTTTCCATGGTGGGTCATCGGGTACAACACATCATTGGATTTCTCAGCGTACAAAGATTTCCAGGTAAGCCATGTAGACGTGAAACAGCATACATAAGAAGGCAGAACAGAGCAGACAGCTGAACGTCTTGCAAGGTTGTAGTAGGTGCTCAGGTGGATTCTCACCCCTGCCGAGGAGGTACCAGAGCAAGCGGACCAAATGATTAACACAGAATGCTAAACTCTGAAACCCCAAACCCAAAACCCTAAACTAAACCAGCAACCCCAAACCCTCTCCCCTAAAACCTAAACCAAGGTGCCGTCCATCATCTACGACACCATCCGCGACCTACGGCAGGTGTTCGAGCCTATTGTGGTGGGTCGGGGGTGTTCACGGTTTAGGGTTAGGGGTTCTAGGAGTGTTGGGCCATCGGGATGCGTTTTTTTCAATGTCGCAGCGGTTTGCGTGAAAGCTTTCGGGCTTCGGAGTAGAGAAGATTCTGGTGGGTGCACGGAAAGGTTGTGGGATCTTTGAAGCATACCTGACCTGTGGATCAAAGAATGGCATTCGGTTTTTCCAAACGAGCGGTGCAGTGCTTAAAGTAGACTGATGAGGTGGTGCAGATAGCTCGGAGCCTTGATCGTCGAAACAGATTGATTATGTATGTCCATGTGCATCCGTGCAGCCCATGTAAATGCATACAGATGTGTGTTTGTGTGTGTCTGTCTGTATGTATGTATG